GGGACTCTCTGTTCCTTTAAGGCAGAAGCATACTATTAAGGGAGCACTGCAGGGCAGGCAGGGTGCAGCAGCTGCAGGTCACCATGGCCACAGGGCAATTAGGCCAATTGGCAGGCAGGCCAGGCAGTCTGCCGACCAGAAAGGGGTAGGGCCCTGATATAAGCTGCAGGCTTCTGCTAGCAAGCTAGTCTCTCCCTGGCTGCCATAGGGTAATGAGCTCCTCGCAGCACGGCTCCTGAAGGCACTTCAGTGCTGCATTTGGATCCCCAGTGAGGCTAGGGGAGCTCACTAAGATATAGCTCAGGGCTATATCTGAGCTATATCTATCCTAGCTGAGAGGCGAGGGCAGGTTTTCCCTCTTAAAGGGACACAGGATTGCTTTCCTCTTTATGTTTTGTTGTAGCCCAGGGGCTTACGCTTATGTTATATTTACACCAGGGTTTGGGTTGGGACTGTGAGGATGGTATATGGAGATCCCATTGGTGCCCATGGGGCATGCAGTAGCCTTGACCACTGTCAGGAGCAGGCTCAAGGCTCGACAAACTGTTGAGCCCAGGATGGGCAGAGGGTGAGACCACAGAGCCAGACAGGGGCCTGGCACCCCAGAGGGGTGTGACCAGATGGGTCAGGGGCCCAACAGGAGAATAACGTTACAATAAAATCCATGAGGTTTGGGGCATGGTGTAGGGGGGATTGGAGCCACACAATTAGCCTCTATGGGTTTAGGTGCCCTGCAGCAGCACAGCTGTAGAGAGGCCCAGCAAGGGGTCTGAGACTAGTAGAGGCCAGTAGGGTGCCAGGACATCCCAGTGGGGGTCCATTTGGTCTGGGGCCCATGCAAAGGCCCATGGGCAGCTTCCCTATTATTACATGAAGGTGTGGCAGGAGAGAAGGAAAGGTGCCCTAGGAGTTGAGTGGGGCACAATCACAGAGCCACCAGGGGGCATCGTGGCTGCCCCTGGGACCGCAACAGGGCCCTCTCATGACTGGAACTGGGTGTTCTTGTCATGAGTTCTGGGATCCTCCAAAAATGTATATGAAGATGATAGATAGGGCACCCTGGTCTGGCTTCACCTCATGGAGGGTGCGGTCACACTAATCATATGTAATAGGCTAAGAGAGGAGCTGACAGAGGGATTTTGGGTGAACTGTGTGGGACCTGTTTAGTGATGTTATCCATATATTTAAGGCTGGTGAAGAAACAGAAATGATTGAAAATGAGAAAGAAAGGCACAACTCACCTATGGGAGTCAAAAGGAAATAAAAATATATGAAATGTAGTGGCTCACAATGACTTGAAAAACAGTTAGTGCTGAGGGGGACTGTGCTCAGTGGGCACTACTATATATCTTATTCAAATGAGTTACACTGTTGTTTTGTATGTTGATCTTGGCTTTGGTATTATGTGGTTTTTGTAAATAAATGTATGGTCCAGTGTTATCCCTAAGTAGACTGGGTGTTTCTGATGATGTCATTGTACATCCTGATTCCCACAGATCCCTGCACAATGCATCCTGGCTTCTCAGGTAGAAAGCACAGATTTGGATTTTTCTAGGGTTGGGTTTGAGATCGTTATTTAGGTAGTAATCTGACATCTTATTCAGTGCCCTCTCCAGGATCTTCTCCGTGTCCTCAAAATTCCTTTGCTGTGTGGTAATGCAGAGTTTGTCAGTATAGATGAAATGCTGACATCCAGAAGAAAGTGGCTGATGATTAATGTAGATGTTGAATAAAAGTGAGGCAAGCACACTGCTGTGTGGTAAGCCATTCTGCTGGGGGCACCATCTTCCTTTGTGGCCATTTACTTCCACGTAGCAGTGCATGTTCTCCAAGAGGTTACAGATGCTCTGGCTTACATCTAAGTCATCAGTCATACGGTACAGTTCGTGGATCATGATATGGTGTTGGGCAGTATCATATGCATCAGATAGGCCAACAAACACTGCACCAGTGATCAACTTCTGTTGGAAACCATCTTCAATATGCTGCATGAGGTTTAATAGTTGGCCTGCACAGGATTGACCTGGTCTAAAACCTGCTTGGTCTCCTGTGAGTTGGGAATATACCAAGTGTGAAATTTATAGCAGGATAAATTGTTTGTAGAGTTTATAGGTGATGCTGAAGAGGGAGAACAATGTATAATGTTTTGGTGATGAAATGCCTTTCCCTGGTTTGGGCAGAGCTATGACTCTTGCCTTCCTCCATACTGATGGTACTTGTTTACTCATTATGCATGCATTGAATAGATCAAGGAGCCATTGTCTTGTAAGTATGTTGTCTCATATCAGTGACATTGTCTACTCCTGCTGCCTTCCCACGTTTCACTGATTTGACTAGTTTGGCCTGAGACACAAAATTAAAAAAAAAAATGTGTTAGGATCCTGTTTCAGGGGTGTACTTGGTAGCTGTGTTGGTCTGAGACAAAAAGACATACAAAAAACTAGAACTCTTGGTTCCAAAATGATACCTTTTATTAGACCAACTGGAAAATGGCAAGAAAATTATCCTTTTCTGCAAGCTTTCGGGATCAAAGTCCCTTTGTCAGCCCCCCCGAAAAGTGTAGATGGTACAAGATGGTAAAAGTCCCCATAGGTAGGAAATAAACTTCATTTTTGCATAGAGGGAGCTGAAGATGGAAATCTGTCCCTCTGGGTGGGGGGAACTATATCTATTTGAGTAGATCTAGTATTCATCTCCTCCGAAATTTAGCACCTCACAGTTTAGCATCCTCTGTGAACTTCATTAGCATACACTTTTACCTCTTGTGAATTATCACTGAATCTCGTGGCACCCAACCAAATAGCTCCTCTCAACTTGATACACTGTTGTTAAATGTTACCATTTGTTTACAGTCTTTCAGCCAATTTTCATTTCATGTGAACAAATACGTAGTCAGCCAATTTGAATTAATTTTGCAAGCAAGATTTCAAGAGATGTTGTATCAAGTGCTATAGTCTCTGGACTAAAATTTAGCATGGAATAAATAATACTAAAATCCATCAAGTCAAACAAGTAAAGTCATTTTTGTTGTCTTAAATGCCGAACAAAGGAAACAAATCTAGTCAATAGACCATAATTTAATGCCTGGTCATGAAAAACAGCCTGATCACCTTGAATAATCCAAAATTACTGTGTTTGTGCAGCATCTTAAATGAAATTTGCAAAATCTCAGGTCAAATTTGATTATGCTGCCCAGGTGGTATAAAATACATATTTTATACTAAGATTGGGTCTAATTCTCTTCTTCCTTCCACGGGTTTTACACTATTGGTTTCAAAAGAAGCCTGCCTAATTTTCACTGGTGCAAGAGAGGAAAATCACCCCCATGATCCTGTGATATGTCAGACTGGTGGGTTTTGCATTGTATGCACATAATCATATTTTTTACGAATTTTATTTCAGTAATATGTAGTGACAATGGTATGAAAAGAATCAAATTTACTGCAGTTCCATTTTGCTTTCCTTTAATCAGAGAGATCCTTCATATTCTAAACAGTTTTATTACACAATCTCAGTATTTTTCCAAGAGAACACTAACTTTTCCTGCATGAGTATGTTAAAAGCTTAGTCAGGTGTACGTTATAGCTGGTTCTTTCCAGTTCTAAAAATGTATAAATTCTCTTTTTAATGTTCTAGGGAAAAGCAATGGTATTTGCTCCACTCAGAGGGAATACTTTAAACCAGTTTTGCAATCTAGCTGAAAAAGCTGGTTTCTCTATCCAAAGACATGAAAATTATGATGAACACATTTCGAACTTCCACTCCAAGGTTAGTTTTCTGTTTGTGTTAGATAACACTTTAATCCTCATTGCATTTTGAAGAGATCATGGTCCTTTTGGCAGGTAACCTAAATGTTTGATTAAAGTACTCCTTAGGTGTGCTGTTCCTGAGCAGCTATTTTGTATCTGATTATTTTGTGTGGTAAAACCATCCTTTATCTTTGCATGTCTAGAAGAGTTTTACAGAAGCATCTCCTGTTTAACCTTTCTATAGAACTAATCTTTTCATTCATAAGAGACTAATTTGTGAGACTTTTTTTTTCTTAGTCACCTATAAATATATGGCAAACTAACATTCACAATTTAATAAAAAGCTTACAACTTCTAACTAGGTTAAATTCTGAAATGTACTGAAATAAATAGGAGGTGAATGTCTAATTGTATCATATCGTACCTTAAATCCTTATCTTTGGTTGCTTTATGGCTGGGTCAGTTGGCAGCTTCAAACTGCTAAATCTCATACAGAATTTCACAGTTGCGGGGTTATATGTCAGACCGAGGCGCTACAAGATTTAGGTCAAAAGCGCTTATCTGAGCATGATTTCTAAGCTTGCTTACATAAAGCAACTGTTATCAGTCTCCTTTTTTATTATTTATAGGTGTAAAATATTACAGGAGACAGAGGAAGGTGTTTTACACAAAACTTTTTAGGAATCTTTTATTTTCCAATACATATGCATAAATGTTTAGTAAAAGTTATATTTGCAATGTTTAGATCGCTATTTCTTCCTGTTAATCCAAAGGTGTGGGCCCATATGAACTCAGGCATGACCTTTGACCTCTCTCAGTTTTACATATATTATGCAGGTAGAACACTGGCTCAGAATTTAATTTTGATTTTTTCATGGGAAAACAGTCAAAGATAACTGTACCTCACTGCATTATAGTACAGGAATCAGACCGCTTTAGAAAAAAAGCATGTAATCTAAATGAAAAAGTTATGCATATTTTGTTTGCTTGTGTAATTTTGCAGTTAATATAATGCATCACATGGATATGATCCTTTCCTCACTTAACTTTTTTATCGACGTAACTCAACTGACTTCCAGAGAATAACTCTTTGTCAGCACACACAAAGTTAGAACGAGGCCCAGAGTTACTTTTCTTATTCATCCATTCAAGATGTTCTTTTATTCATTACCTGTTTTGTGATGGGAATCAATTTTCTTCCTATGATCCCAAATCAATTATCCATGTGTAATGTACTGGAGAAAGTTGTTATCCTTACCTAGTGGTGGGTCCAAAATGATGCAAATGTTCTCCCTCTGTCTCTCTAGGTAATGCTAAACTGTGTAGCACAGGCATACTTGAACAAGCTAACTCAGGTAACATTAACAGTCTTGCTCCAGCAGCACAGGACTCAGCAAGGGCTGCAAATTCTGGCCAAGATGTTGCATATTCAGACACCCTGAGCTGAGCTTCATATCACTGTGGCTAGACTGTTGGCAGTATCTGAGCTAGCTAGTTTAAAACTACCTTGGGTGTGTCTACGTTACACTGCTGTCACAGCAGTGGCTACGCTGTAGACATTCCCTCACTTTCTTGTTTTACTCTTCTGCCTTGAGGATAATCCTAAAAACATTTCACTGTGTGGCTGTCTTGTGCCTCATGCCACAGGGTCAACATAAGGATAGCCTTTATTTGGGCAAATTGTTATATTAGGAACATTATACCCACATGTGAAAACCAAAACCTTAGACCATAAGAAAGCTGAGGGTCCAAAAAATTTCTGTTTTGAATGCTTTTCTTGTACTGTTTGCTAATCTGTTGCATTTTATGGGATATTGCCTCTACGTTTGCCACTAATATAAAAATCCTGACCTTTCTATCACCTCACATCTGAGCACCAAAAACTTCTCTGCAAAAGGAATTTGTCTGG